CTGCCTTTTTTTCACTATGAATTGACCAGGATAAAGGCCAGGAACCTAGGCATAGGTCGCACTTGCTGGCAAACAGTGTAGGCACATACATCAGAGATTAGAGGGGGAGGCTGAAAGCAGTGTCTCCTTGGGCACCTGAGAAGCAGAATGCCCAGCCCGAGAGACACCAGAAACCAGCCAGCAGGCTAATTCGATTCGTCACCAACTTGTAGTGCCGGAGCCCAGGTAACCATCAGACTTAACTCTCCCTTGCTTAGGTCTTGGAAAGGGCAATGCCAGATTTCTAAATCTCATGAAGGCAACCAAATTTGGGCAGAGAGGACGCATTTTTAAAGTCTGTGTGCAGGAAATTGATCGACAAATTGATACCACATCAAAAGTTATAACTCAGATTTGATTCCTTGGCTCTTTCCTCATTGCCATCACCTTTAATCCTCATCATTTGTGCCTGAAATATTGCAGGAGCCTTATGACTTGTCTTTCTGCTTCACCATGGCTCATCCCATCCAGGCTTTCCTAAGAGATATCCTTAAATGTACTTCCAGAGAATGGTTCCTAAATGTAAACCTGACCGTGTCTCCTCCCATTTAACTCCCCACTCCCAACCCGAGCATTGGTTTAATAGCACATGAAGAATTCAGACCCACTTTGCCTGGCATGCTAAGCCGTTTAAACCTGGCTCAAACTAACCCCAGTTTTATTCCTTGGCATTCTTTCCCCAAAACAGAGTCCAAAACTTCCGAACGTCTCATTGTTCCTAAGTGGGTCTCTTCCTTTCGTGCTTTCTTACCTTTAAATCTTTGACCACTTATTACTTCCTCTGCCTGGGATGACCTTACCATTCTTCTCTGAGAAACTCCTACTGTTGCTAAAACTTAATTTAGAATGTTGCTTCCTTTGTGAAAACTTCCCTGATTCTCCCAACATAGTGCCCTCCTCATTTCTGTTCTTTCTTTCTCTAAAAGAGTATCTATTGTATCCCATTATTTATTATAATATCTATCACATTATAATAATTGTGTGTTTTGATGTCTCTATTTCCATCATTACATTATACCTTCCTTGAGGTAAGAGGATATAGATTACTCATCTTTGATTCCCTACTGTTTATGGGAACTTACAGCATATAGTGGCTGTTCAGAATATCTACTAGAAGAATGAATAACCCCTCTTACAATTAAATAATCCTAGTGACTATGTTACATGATTTAAAGTGCACCGGAAGTGAACTGTTCCTCCACAAAATAAATACTTTTTGTTTTTTTAATTTCTAAACTTATGTTAGAAGATTTTAACATTTTTGTTTAATTATTTGAACCCATAACTGAAAGCATTGCTTTGAACTTTGGAAGAGGTAATATTTTAAGCATTATAAGACACACAAAAATATGCATGCTTTAATTTATTAGACTCTTATATGAAACTAAATTTTAATGACGGAAAGAAGAATAACATCATAATAATGTTGGCAGGAGATGGAGAGAAGGGAAGAGCAGAAAGGATGCTGTGCATTTACCCAGCAGCATTTATTAGCCACTATTATATGTCAGGCACTGTGTTAGCCACTGGAAATACAGATAAATAAGAAACTCCTCTGCTCAAAAATGACTCAGGGGATATAAAGGGGAGATTAGAAACATCCACTAATATCTTTCATTTATACCACAACTGTATATAGTTCTGGGTCTATCATCATCAACCATCAAGTTCTTTGTCTTTTTCCTCAACTTTTCTAAAGTTGTTTTAATTATACCCTTTAAATGTAATTGGTCATAAAACAGGTATCTTGAATTTCAGAGTGGGATTTTATTTATAGACGTCTTCTGTAATTTAGACCAGAGAAAAATCCATTTGTCTTAATGCATTATCTGAAAGTAGAATTTAACTAATTAGATACTCTAAATAATATAATAAACACCTGCAAAATTACAACTCAAAACAATTGACTTCAAAGCATTTCCTTTCTTCTGGCTTGCCCCACCTAATGTAGCCATAATCTTGAAAATCAAGTTTTCTTGTTTATATGACTTTTTATTATATTCAACCTATAATTATTTTAATGCATATATTTAAATTATTTTAGTAGCTTTTAGCTCAATAAAAAAGAACATCCTCTGATGTAATGTTCTAGGACTGTTCATTGAATGTTAAGCTTTATCCATATTGTTGCATGTGTCTGTGGTTTATTAATTTTGAGTGCTATATAATATTCCTTTTTGTGATATGCCATAGTTTTGTATCTACTATTCAGTTGATAGCAGTTTTTATCAATTAAATAGTATAAAATAGGATCTTCTTGTGGTCTTCATTTGCATTTCTCCATTTTCTAACAATGCTGACCATCCCTTCATGCACTTCTTGCCAATATTATTTTCTCTTCTGTGAAATGCTTGTACCTACCCCTTGATTCTACTGAAATGTTTGTGCTTTCTTATACTGATTTCTAGGAATTTTTTTATATATTCTTGGTATTTATTTGTGTTGATTTTATGTAATGTAAGGATCTTCTCCCAGTTGGTAATTTATATTTTTCTGTTATAAACATGTCTTTTAATGAACAAGTTTAAAAGATTTTAATTGAGTTAAACTGAAAAGCCATTTTTACAGTCACTGTTTTGTTTTGTTTTTTTCTTATTTAAGAAAACATTTTCTACTCTGAGGTCTGAAAGATATTCACATATTCTACTAGGAATATCATGGTTTTTGACATTTAAGACTGATTTGGAACTGATTTTTGAATATATGCTGTGCTACTTTCATCTCTTCCTAATAAGGGTAGCCATTTTCCCTATCTCCATTTACTAAAAATTCCCTTATTTCCCTGCTGTCTGACATGCTATATTTGTCATATACCAAAGTTCTAGATGTGTGTGTATCTATTACTAAGTTCTCAGTGCTTGCCTGTCTCTGTACCGGGATAACTGTCTTAATAACTAAATCTTCATAAGAATTCTTGAAACCAAGTAGAAGAGAGCAGGTTCCTCCACCCTGCTATTTCTCAGAAATATTACAGTTGTCTCTAGCCCTTCATTCTTCTCTTTAGAATCATATTTTCAAATCTTCTGAAAACCTGTTTTGGAATTTTTATTAGAACTGAACTGAATCTGTAGATCAAATTTGAGGACAATATCTTCATAGTACCTTCTTCCTATCTATGAACATGGTATATTCTCAGCTTTCCCAGGTCTTCAGTATTTACTGATACTACTTTATTCTTCTCCTTCTAGGAGTCTTACAGTATCTTCTATTAGTTTTTTCATAGATATTTGACATAATATTTAAATTTCATCTATTTTAGCTTCTCTTTTCTTGTATTTATCCCTGAAGCTAAGATTTCCCCCTTATATTTCTGTATTTACATGCTTTTGTAAGACACCAGTATAATAATACAGTTTGGTACCTAATTATTTGTCCCCAAAGTGAGTTAAAAGCAGGTTCCTTTCCTTTGATGCAATCATTTAAAAAAATTAAAGCAGTTTAGAGAATTGAATTAGAAAAATGACTGACAGCATTTTGGTTAGGCAAAAACAAAAGGCTTTAAGTGGTTATGATTATCCCTCTACAAATGAGATTTTCAGCATTGTTATGGGACTAAACATCAAACAGGAATAATTAAATGCTGTTTAATGGTTTATATAGTTTTAAGCCCACATATTTTTATGTGTGTGGAGAAGAAAACAATGTGTCAGCTTGCAGTTAGATTCCACAAAACTTAATCTTTGCATAGTTATTGGTCTCATTAAACAATATAGATTTATAGATTAAGTCAGTACCTATTACGAAAATGCTATCTTTTTCTAATGAATTTATATTTATGGGGAAACATTATTTTCATTTCTAGGCCTACTGCAAGGTACCAAATAGTTTTGGTAAAGCTAAAATTAAGCACCATAAATATATTCAAACTGAATTACTTCTTAAAAGATTTAAGAATTTGTAATTTTCTTATGATTTGTCAAAATAAGATTAGCCTTCTAGGGATATGGATCAACACTGTTCATGCAATGAAGACTAGACTCTGTCACATAAATTTATCAGCCATTGTCAACTCTCTAACTGTCTTTTATTGCTAAAATGTCACTGAGAAAAGTCACACTGAGAAAAGTTACTATGAGAAAATGTAGCTCTTGAGCCAGTCATCTCAAATAGATTGACTTGTGCCATAATTATACACAAAGTGGGCTTTTCACTAACATTTTTCTTGTGGAGTGTCATGGACAAATCTGAATTCTTATGATTCCACAAATACACCTACAAACAGATTACATTTGAAAGAAAAAGGTATTTACAGCTCTCAGTCAGTGTGCAGAATACAACAGGAAAGGGAGTCTAACAAAAACCATTTTAAAGAGAGAAAATAAATGCTTCCTTATGAGCAATCTGAAGTCTTGGCTATAAAACTGGCCTTCGGCAATACACACATGAAGTCTTTAAACTGAGAATAAATTTAGCTGCCTTGCAGTTTCTAGTTAAGTTTGCTTTCTTCCCTCCTTTTCTGGAAAGAGAGAGTTAATGTTCTATCAGTCCTACCAAAAGAAATTTGAGTAAAATGGAACACAAAAAATTAATAAATGAAATGTTAGAAAGCAATTCCAATGACCACAAACGGACTGTCAGTTCATAAAACTTTAAATCATTTTAAAATCATTTAAACCAAGAGAAAAATGTTCTCACTTGCAAAGATTAAATTCATGAATGATGGAATAGCCTACATTTACATACATTTTTACTTTGGTTATGTAAGTTTTATCTTAACAACATAATCTTATTTAGAAATATAGCATTGTGTAAATAATTTTTACATTTTCCTACAACTAATATATACTATTGTATCATTCTAAGAGATTTAATTTAAAAAATATACAAAGTAAGGCAAGAAAATATGACCGGTTATATAATACTTATTTGACTTGTATTCGGATTGAATTTCTTGCTATATAAAAATACTTAGAACTATAGTCCCAGAAAAAATATTTAATGTTTTGTTTTAAATTTAACAGTAAAGAAGATTCATCAGTAACGTCAGATGAGAATAATTCTGAGAATTCAAAGATTACAGGTAATATTTCTTTAATTTTTAAACAGAATCTATTTCTTTTGTTTGAGCCTACAATTACAACAATGTTACACAGGAAAAATTATCTTAACTTTTCAGATACCTATATCCCAACAATTGTTTGCTCTCATGAGGCCAAGGAAGACTTGGAAACCAGTGATCAAAATATAAAAGATGTAAACAAGGAACATGATGAACATAATGAAAAAGAATTAGAGTTGATGGTAAGTGTTCTGGTTGCCACGGTATTAGAGAAGATGAATCCATTTATGCTTCAAAGATGCTGCCATGCCTGCCTTTCAATAGCTTCAACTAATATAATTTGCAAATGTGAAAGCACAGCCTATTCTGTCCTTGCATCTCTAGCTTGATCAACAAGGCACTTTGATTTCAGTATGTTGCTTCTGGTCTCTGCAATGGTAAATTAATGACATTCATTTCTTATCTCTTTACCAGCGGCTCTGAGTGATAGTTTGTAGGAATTACAGAAGAGGTAGCACTATCCTGAGGTGCATTTCTAATCTTTGTGACAAGTGTGCACTTATCATAAACTTGTCTGCAAAATGAGAGGGCTGGGCTAGATGATTGTTAGGGCTATGTCCAGCTCTACAAGTCTGAGTCTTGCATTTAGCAGCACTTTTTTTTTTACTTCCATCTTTGTGAGAATTCATAAGTTCTGTATCATTGGAAACTATTAAATTACTAAGTGAGGAGAAAATAGCCTGTGCCATATTTTTCAAACAAGAAATGAATTCAGCACTGTACAATTTAGTATTAAATTTGTTACCATAAATTTCACACTTGGTGAACATTCAGTCTATTTGGAATTTTGGGGGGGGGATGGTTTAGATAGCATTTTTATCACAAAAGAAGAAATAGGAGTAAATGAGTCACATAATGCAATTTTTCCTTTTCTGTATTTGGTTGGAGCTCATATCATTAGGATACATGGATTCATAATCATCTAAGATTAAAATGACATTTGCCTCTTCAAGTGTCAGTGCTGAAACAGAAAAGGAATAGAGCTCATCTCCTTCCCCACACATTCCACCCTTTCTATAGTGATATGGAAGCTGCACCACTAAAGTATGCAATTTACTTTGCTCCAACTTTAAGAAACTACAAAGTTGTCACCCATTGAGAATTCTCACTAGCTGAAAGTTAACATCACCATTTTTTTCAAACCACAGAATATAATGAAAGGACCCTGAAAAAAATCACATACTTCACCAATATACCTCATTACAATGAGCAGGCTCAAATATAAAAGTTTGTTTAGAAGTTACTGAGTCCAATAAATGAACAGGGAGCTGTAATTTAGATGCTAATTTGCTCCATGCTGACGTTAATGCATAAAACAATGAAGCTCTATAATAGATGGAAATACAACCAAATCTGTGGAACCCACAGGCATTGGCTTACAAGACAGCTGTGCAGTTGACAAGTAACATGAGCCTTATGTGAGAAGAAGGGGGAAACGAAAGATTTGCATATAATTATTGAGATCATGCAAATGTCAGTTATGAGGAGGAAAAAAAAAAACACAGGCATCTCACTGTTAAATCCTGACAGTTGGCATCACTGAAGAGCTCAAATACATTTGAGTACCAGTTGGCAGAGGGTCATTAAAACAGAATTTGCAGAGACATTAACTCCCTCACTTTTCTTTGAGTGACGTTTTGCTATTAATAGTTTGCAGAGGCTTTGCAGAAAACATATTAATAAGAGAAACTGTAATAGGGGCACCTACAGCAAGTGTAAATGCAGCAAGGGGCACTCAGGAAGCTGCTCTCTAATTGATTAGCATGGAGCTATCAATGTGTATATCCTAAGTGAGGAGAAAGTGCAATGACAAGCAAGAATAGCTGAATAATACAATGTGATATTTGGAAGCTGGGAAGGAGAATGATTAATTTTGGCCCCTTTTCTTATTAATCTCATTCCCAAGTCATAGTCTACAAGGATCCCCCCCAAAACATCTGGCTTCCAGAATTTGTACAAAATCCACAAATGAAATGAATCAAGGAAATCCAGATAATTACTAGCCAAGTAAATGAAACCTATCTAATTCACCTTGTATATTTAAAAATCACTTGGTCATTATTCTTTGTTGCTTTTATCCCTTAAGATAAATCAACGCTTAATAAGAAGTACTGCTTCTGGAGATGAAAAGAATACAGTCAATTTTCCAAATAAAGCTGAGGGGTTAGAAAAGAAGCAAATTCATGATGAAGTATACACTGACTTGTTTAAAAGACACTTGTCTTCAAGTTCATCAGCAGAGAGATCCTTAAAGGGAGATTTTCACAGACATGAGTGTAGTCATCAGCCTTCAGAGGAAATTACTTCAGATATGGGAGAAATCAAGCCATCATTTGGAAATACTAGTAGTGATGAATTAGTGCAATTACATATTGGAGGCAAAGAAGTACTGGATGATAATGCTAATCCAGCCCAAGGGAAAGGCAGAGCGCAAATATCTTGTCCGTCTGCAGATCAATTAATGGCAGACAATCTTAACAAAAAACTTGAAGGAGAAGCTAAAAAAATTGAAACAAAAGATTGGGAATGTTTAAGAAGAGATTTCCATTCAGAAGAATCAACAGAAAAAGGATCTTCCAAGAAAGACTATGGCAATGGTAAGAATAAGGAGGAGCAAAGAACACATTTAGGTCTTAATGAAAAACAAAACAAACATTTTCAACCAATCTTACACGACCAAGAAAGGAAGATGAGCCACTCTGAAAGTCTGGAAGGGGTGGGAGCTAGTACCAGAAACCTAACTGCTCTGCCGAGTAAAGACACCGCAATTCATGACCAGGCAATCAGAGTAGATACAGTCCTTCCACCAAGGACAAATATAAACTGGGAAGAAGCTGTGTTAACAACCCCAGACCGTGATCGTTCGACTAGTGGAAGCACTACTTTAGGATGGATGTCTGGTCAAGTTTGTTCACCAAGAACAAGAAGTGGAAATGTTTCGAGGAATGAGCATCTCTTCCAAATTGAAGAAGAAAAATCAGATTGGATCGATTCTGAAGATCAGAATAAGAACACACAGCATAAACAAAGTTGGAATGCTCCGGAAAGTCAAAGGAAAGGAAGAGAGAGTAAGACACATATAACAGAGGAGACCAAAGAGCAAGCAGATTGTGAAGACACATGGGAAAAAAGAGACAGTACAGGAAGTTTGAAAGCTGCTCCTACAGAAGAATTGTTTACCTTCCAGGAAGCAGCGAGCTGTGAACTGTCTTCTCTAGCTGATCATGGTATTACTGAGAAAGCAGAAGCAGGTGCAGCTTATATAATTAAGACACCATCAGAAAGTACTCTAGAAAGCATGTCTGCTAGAGAAAAAGCAGTAATTGCCAAGCTACCTCAAGAGACAGCACGAAGTGACAGGCCCATCGAGGTAAAAGAAACAGCATTTGATCCACATGAAGGGAGAAACAATGATTCACATGATACCCTTTGTCAACGAGATTCAGCAGCTGTAATCCATGACAACGACTTTGAAAAGGAATCACATTTAGGTATTTGTAATGTACATGCAGATGAAACAGAGAAGGAAGAAACCACATCATACAATCCCGGGAAGACACGTGACAAGAAGAAATGTGGCGTTGCAAATCCATCTGTGGAAGAATCCTCACAGGTCATTACAGACAATCAAAAGGCAGCCTCCAAACTAGATTTACATTTGGGAATGTTACCAACAAGCAAGAAAATATTTCTAGAAAATAGAGATCACGGGCAGGTCCAAGAATTATCAAAGAAAACGAACAAAGATGCCGTTCTTCATTCTGCTTTAAACTCAGACACTGATAGGGCTTCTCAGAATGACTCTCACGTTTCCAGTCACCACGCTCAAACCTCAGTGCCATCTCATGAACAGGCAACTGCTGTAGAGAATGCAGTTGCTGCTGCCATGCCTCTCCAATCTATTTCTCCTAAATCAGAATATAATTGTAACCCAACAAGTGCAATCCAGGGTATGGAGAAGCACCCTCATCCTGCATCTCCATCTGAAGAAGATTCCAAAAGTTCAGGAATAGAGACATCAGGTAGCAGGAGGGAGAGATGTACAGGCCAGATTTTCCAGCAGGGAGAATGTGGTGCGGAGACATCTCTAGGGCCAACTATTTTAATCAGCGAAGCTTTTGAGAACGTAGAAGAGGCAAGGCATGAGGATGGAGGATTAATAAACTCTGGGCAATCACTGTTCTCTCCAGGTGACAAGGCATCTGAGAGCTCTGCCTCTGATAGTCTGCCTGCCGAGGAAAGTCAAGCTCAAAGCAGTGAATCTCTGCTTTCGAAATACATCAACTCTAAAGTGCCTTATTTCCTTTTGTTTCTGATATTTCTTGTGACCATCTATCAGTATGACTTAATGATCGGCTTGGCATTCTACCTTTTTTCCTTGTACTGGCTATCCTGGGACGGGGGAAGACAAAAAGAGTCTGTCAAAAAGAAGTAACCTCGGCACTACTGTCCTTCTCTCTTAAAAGATGAGCTATTGGGCCCCAAACATTTGGATTGGTGAAAGAGACTATTCATTGTTCAAAGAGCCAGTGCAGTTTTCCTCTTGAAGGATCATTTAAAAAGGAATGCGTATGAAGTTTGCTCCTTCATATAAGTAATTATTCTATATAGGACCATTATGTTTGGATCATTAAATACCTATATGAATATGAGATCTGAAGCACGTCAAGTTGAAATTAGGTACAGCTGTTGCTCCTTAGCAGGCTATGAAGTTTCAATGCTTCATGTCTCTTCACTACTTAAAGTGCCATTTCTTGCATTCATTTCTTTTGCAGTAAAGTTTCATTTTTTTTTCCCTGAGAGTATTTTTCCCTCTACGGTTTTTAAAATATCGATAAAACATGGACAATGGCAGAGGACTTTTTTGGTCTTTTAATACTGACCATGAAATTTGCATTTACCATGTATCTTTTATCAGCACGTTTTGATAAATCAAATCTGTCAACTTTGATTTCATATTTTTTAAGAACAACACACATGTATATTGAAATGCATAAATTTAAGCGGAAGAAACACATTGTTTGCCTGAATAGTACTTTATACACATACACGTTTTACCTCCTGCATATATACAAAGTCAGGGCATTTCATCAGACAAATCTGACAAAGATTGAAACAATCAAGACACGATCGTTCGGTTCCACAAAATTTTAAGAATGGCCTATCTTTAAGCAATGTTTTTCTTTTTCAAAGGGAGACTGTATAACACAGCTGGACAATTTCAACGTCAACTATTATTCAGAGCTGGAAATTTAAAGTTCCACAAGCAGTGCTTCAGAATGAATTTGTACCTATAAAGCCTAAAGCATTAAATGAAAACAATAATTAAAAAAAAAAAAAATTTTCCAAACAAACTATTCTACCTGGTAGTATTTTTTTTGTCTTCCAACACATTTTTAATCTTTTCTCATGATGAAACTATGAATTATTCCTCAAGGTGCATTCAGAGAACAAACAGCTAAATCACTGGTGATATTTACTATACAATTATCAGGTTGTTATATGATAACTCAAATTTTTAAGTAGACAAATAGGTAGGTATGGAAATCTACTGAGGGAGAAATGAGTATCCAGTGTAGCAGTGACTTTGCTGTTTGCTGCTGTTATTATCTGGCTGAGTCTGTGAGATAATGGAACTAATCTTGAGTCACATAGGGGTAATGCAAAGATTCTTACACGGTGGAATTTAACAACTTTTACTGAATGACTAATTTATGCAAAACCTTGTCCTCCGTTCTGCGACAGAGCACTGGCTTTGATATGCTGAATGGCTAGTCCTCTGGGAGGAGGCATCAGTTTGTAGTTTGATGCTTTTGACTTGGCCAGGAATATGGAAGAGTGTCACATGGAGGGAGCCCACTTAGGTGATTTCTTTTTTTATAGGAACTTCTTGCATAGAGAATGCAACATTGATCTTCAGAGAGAAAAAGTAACCTGTTTATTAACCTGTAAAGGTAATTGTAATGAGTAACACTTGCATACATCATCCCACACTTCTAAAAACATGCATTTACAGGAAGACAAAATGAGAATGAAGCAATAAACTGACTTTCATGTACCAGTAAATGATTTCCTTAATTTTCATTGGGTACACAACTATTTCCAAATCCCCCAGTAGCATGCTTGTCTCAAGTCCCATTGAAATTGAGTGCTTGACTTCAACTTTTTAGCTGAACAAATAGAAATATCATGAAGTAGAACTTAGGGCAAATATTTGATTGAGAAAGCATATTTTCAATAAATTCAAGTGGAATATTGTAGGCTGTACCTAGAATATTATCTCTAAAATTGCTGTCTTGATAATTCTGTTGACAGATCTAGATTACAATGAATTTAAGGTTAGCATTTTTTTAGTTCCTAATGGCTTGGTTTTTGCACTCTACCTTTAAGAGTTTCAGTCAATATGCCATATCTTATTAATGGAAAGAACACGATATTACTTTATGAACACAGGTGCCCTAACTGTGATTATTCCCTTATACGTAAAAGAATGTAACTTCCTTTATCTCTTTTATTTGACTTTTGGTAACATTAACTTACTAAACCTTCTCATACATATTGGAAATATGACAATAGTAGTTTCAAAGGATTTAAAATACTCCATTGTGTACCTCTCTGCATGCAATGAAGAAATAATTGGTGATCTAACTGATTTTCCAAACATTACTTATGAAGAATTTGAAATAAAGTCATAAGAACTTAAGGAACTACTGCTAGGTGGAGAGGTTAAGTTTTGCATCCCATTTTGGTCACATCACTATGTTGAACAAGAAAAGTGGATCTCTGGAAGAACTGGCAGTCCCTGGTTAATAAAGATTTGACTGTGAATCATTATGACAAGGGTCATCTTTATAAGCGTAGCTGCCTTCATTGTTTGAAGGCCAAAAGAGGGTGTGGCATGAGAATAAACAAAAAGAAGTATATTGTACACCTGCTTCTATAGTGCATAAGAAATGTAATATAATAACCATCACCTTTTATCTTGCTGGGCTTCTATTAGAAACAAATTTCTAAAAATTAATTGATAAGCAAGCATAGGTAGTAAAATCAACTATCGTTAAAAATCATATCTGTATAGGCCACCAATATTTCAACAGATTTTTCAGTGCAAGAGGAAATGAGTTAATGATATGAAATTCACCTCTCAACATTCAAGAACACTGAGTTAATGCAAGTGTGCTTCCCCGCTGAGCTCCAATATTTTGATTGTGAATTATTTCAAAGAATATATATGTATGTGTGTG